TATATATATATATAGGCACAATTTAAATAGTCTACAAAACTAATTTCAATAATTGTAGCATATAAGCATGGGTTTTTAATATCATGACAAATGTATATACAATGAATTATAAATTGTTTAATTGCTTTCATTTGTGTATTGAATGGCTAAAATAACATCTCAGTGCCTGAAATCATTTATAATGAATATCGATTAATATTACTCACTGTTCCCCTCCGCAGAGCAAATTGAATGGAATCAAGGTCAGAAACGGGGCACCAGACCTCAGCAATCAAACATTTCTGTGTAACATCGATGTTACAGAGGTTCAGAGTGTGATAAATGGCCTTCATCTTCCTCACTTTGATGAACCACACACGTATGGTTTTCGCAGCAGCCTGCAAAACCCTCTGCCGGTGGTCCTCTGTTTGATTTAGAACCTATATGTTTGAAAACACAGCAAACAGTATGATCAACATTTGAAATAAGTTTTTTGCATGCGGATATAACTGGTTTTCCAAGGTCATGTTCAAACAGAGTTTGAGACTTTAAATGTAATCAACAATATTAGGTTGAGATAAAAAGTAACACAGTTGGAGAAAAATCTAGAGACTGTAAGACTTTATTGAGAGAGCATTAGACCATACCATCTGGAGGTCATCAATGCGGGTGTTGACACCTGCTGCCATTTCCTTCCTCTCCTGAGGGGTCTCAGGGCACGGGTACAGAGATGCACGGAACCTGGAGATGAAGTTTAAAGTCTGTGATTAGCATTGGATGAAATTATGTGAATAATAAAAGATCAGAAAAGACCATGCTGCACCCTTCACAGATCTTCTTCACTCTGTTCTTCAGTTGGTCTCCTTGGAAGAAGATGATAAACACAGATTTGTGCACCTGGTCTCCCTGTTATGAACAAAGACCCATAACTTGATCAATATTTTATCACGCTGGTATATAAAATGTCAAACATCTTAATTGACTTGATCAGAAAAAAAAAAAATCAAGAAAAATAGACACTGACGGTTGTGGGGTCCTCAAGAGGGTCCTCAATCTCTGTCTGACGTAAAAAGACATTTCCACGGCAGACTCTCCACAGCATCCTTTCAAACGTGGGGATTCTCTCCCGGTTTATAACCCCAGCCACAAACCTACAGGGTAAACAAACCTGTATTATCAGCAGAGTACACAGAGGTTTTACGTAAAAAAAAATTTTCAGTGTACATATTGTGATCTCTGTGTATAGAAGGTTTTGATAAACATGACTTTGATAAAAGTCTTGTCCAGAACTGTACAAGAGTACTAACATGAGTAGGGATGCACCAATCCAATTCATTGTCTTTCACAGTAATTTCAGTAATTAAAAAAAAAAAAATCATAAACACACAATCACAAACCATTTAGTAAATGAAAATGCTAAATAAATTCTGAAAATCTTCCAAACTATTCAAGTTAATTATTTAATGAAAAAATTCTTAAACAGTGACCGAGACGTTCCCTTTCAGTCGGTCACTCTCGACGTCACATCGGATGACTGACGAATTGGGATCCCTACTAATGGGCCATAGCTACTGCCCCTTCCAGTGTCCCGTGGAAGCCTCCTGCGCCCCTACTTTTTGGCGCAGGCCAGGGCTTACCACAAGAAGACCAGCTACTGCTGCTATGGCACTACCCACTCAGTAAGACTGGATAACACTGGGAAAACGTACCCGTGCCACTTGGAACATGGACGTTGCGGAAGCCCCATCCTTCCAGAAGGAGGTTTCGGAAGCACTTACACTTATGAACAACCGTTTGGGCGCATATGGAAGATTAGAGGTGATTGTAACCCTCTTGGAAAATAACAGGAAGTCTGCCGGGGAAACACGGGCTTTGAGGCTATACCGTGGACTTTACACATATGGGATCCACTTAGGTTTCTACATATGGAACCTATGGATTCATCGAGTGAGGGCCTGGCGCCGGACGCTACTCCACGTCTGGCTGCCGAGGGGATGGAGGAGCTCGACAGGGTCTACAATATGGACTCTCTGGAGTGGTTTTAGCAAGCCGACCCGAAGCCGGGGCCTCTCAGTGCTTCTACCCGTTTGAGGTGAGAACACAGGAGGATACCGGCTCACACGAAGGCTATAGAATCTAGCGAACATGTTAGGGGCCGCCCAGCCTGCAGCTTGGTCTGAGGTCCTGAAGCTTTGTGTCCGGTCTACGTAGCATCTTAATGCTCAGACGGGACAGAGCAAAGCTAGGGCTTGGTCTGCCTCCTCCGGGGGCAGCGCTTACAGGCTCACCACCTGATCCCTGAAGGGAGTAGCGGGAACCTTGGGCACATAGCTGGGCCGGGGCCTCAGGGTTACCTGTGAGTCAGCCGGCCCAAACTCTAGGCACGACTCGTCGACCGAAAATGATTGCAGGTCCCCTACCCTCTTGATGGAGGCCAATGCAAGCAGGAGCAAAGTTTTCATTGACAGAAACTTTAGCTCGACTGTCTGCAAAGGCTCAAATGGGCCTTGCTGTAGTGCTCTGAGCGCTAGAGTCAGGTCCCAAGAGGGTATAGAGGGGGGCCG